GGCTTGTCAAGGCCCAGGGGCACCACAGGTCTGTGAGGGGCACCAGCGACCTAGCAGGGGCACCAGTCAACACAGGTCTGCCAGGGGCGCCACAGACCTGCCAGGGGCACCACAGACCTGCCAGAGGCACCAGAGGTCTGCCAAGGGCACCACCGGCCTCGCAGGGGCACCTTGGGCCTGTCAGGGGCACCACGGGCCTGCCGAGGGGCACTTCAGACTTTTCAGGGGCACCAGTCCTCTCCGGGCGCAGGGGTACCAGCGGCCTAGCAAGGGCACCAGAGGCCTGTCAGGGGCACAAGCGGCCTAGCAAGGGCACCAGAGGCCTGCCAGGGGCACCACAGGCCTAACAAGGGCACCACGGGCCTGTCAGGGGCACCTCAGGCTTGTCAGGGCCCAGGGACACCACAGTCCTTCCAAGGGCACCGCAAGCCTGTCAGGGGCACCAGAGGCCTGTCAGGGGCACCACAGGCCTAGCAAGGGCACCACTGGCCTGTCAGGGACACCTCAGGCTTGTCAGGGCCCAGGGGCACCACAGTCCTTCCAGGGGCATTACAAGCCTGTCAGGGGCACCAGAGGCCTAGCAATGGCACCACAGGCCTGCCATGGACACCACAGGCCTGCCAGGGGCACCACCGGCCTTGCAGGGGCGCCTCAGGCCTGTCAGGGGCACCACGTGCCTGCCGGGGACACTTCAGGCTTGTCAGGGGCGTTACAGTCCTGTCAGGGCCCAGGGGCACCAGGCCCGTGGTGTCCCTGCTAGGCCTGTGGTGCCCCTGGCGGTCCTGTGGTGCCCCTGTCAGGACTGTGATTCCCCTGATAGGCCGGTGGTGCCCCTGGCAGGTCTTTGGGCCCCCGGGCCTCAAGGGGGGGGGGCCATGACCCATGTGACCCCCCCCCCTTGGATCCGCCCCTGAAACAAAGACCACCATTGAACTCCCCGTGACAAGCTGCATCGAATCGATACCCATTTTATGCAAAAATATCAGCTTTCAAATTTGACCTAACTTGACCTGACCTTGACCTGACCTTCACCAAAACATAATCTCAAGTGACCCCAAGGGCTGCCTGTCCCACACCTAATCGCATTTGGCATATAAAATGGACCATAAAACTTGCATCACATGATATTTTCATATTGTGACCCCCCAGTGACCTGACCTCTGTGACCTGACCTGGTATCAGTGACCTCAAATAGCAAAATGTGTGTTTGAAGAACATTTCCCCATCGATGATTTTCAATGAAATGCATTTTACTCGATTTTACAACGCATTTCTTGAAATGCCTGTAAACGATGAAAATTCGACCTTTGACCTGACCTGTGACGTCATCGGTTTCACCTAGGTCAATAAAATTCGGTCAAAAGGTAGTTCCCTGATAGGGCTATCCAACACCGTTTGCCGCTTGTCGCTAGGTTGCGTGGTTCTCGAGATCTTAGGGGGGGGAGCAAATTGCCCCCCTCCCCCAACAGGGCGCGTTGCTCGGCAGAGCCCAACGGGGCGCGGGTTAACTGTAGATTTGGTGAGCGTTTCAAGATGTCATGGTTTTTTTTTGCTCATTTTTACTCGAACATGACCTCAGTTTGACCTCAATAACTCCTGACCTGAGGTGACCTGTGACTTGAAATTTTGTGTGAAGGTGTCAAATTGATGCCCGGGAAGGTAGGCTGCGCGCCGCTGTTTTCTCGCTATTTAAGAAAAACCACAGGGGGGGGGGGGCAAAATGGACTCCCATCAGGGCGCGGGTTAATCGTCTAAAAGTTACAAAATTTCTACAAAATTATCTTTAAAGTTTAGCTTTAGGGGTTGGTTACACAAACACACCGCCGCCACCGACTCGGTGATGGTTCTCGCTGAGCTGTGGGGGTCCGTCGCTCGGCGGCGCCCACTCGGTCCGCCGCCTCCCACGCCCACCGACTCGGCTGGCGGGGCGGCCGTGACCGAGCCGTCGTCGGGGCGCCGGTTCCGGTCACGCCGCCGCTCATCCCGCGGCCACCCCGGCGACCCGACGTCACCCCCGGTGACCTGCGCGGCGACCTTGCCCGGCCGGCCACGCCGCCGACTCCTCCTATTAGCATGTGGGGCGACCCGGCGCGCCACCCGGCGACCCCGCGACCCGCACCGTCCCGCCGCGCGCCGCGCCGCTCCAGCGCGCGGTCCGCTTGGCCGATGATTTACACATATGCCGACGCGCCCGGCGCGATCCGCTGCGACCGGCTGGGTGGGAATTAATTGTTATTTCATGTGTCTCGGGTGCGGCGGCGGCGGCGCGCCGACCGCGGCCGGCCAGTGAGCTCGTTATCGGCGGCGGGCCGCGCCGGCCGGCCGTCAGCGGCACCTAAATTAGATCCGCCGGCTGATAAGGCCGCCGGCCGAGCCGCACAAAGCCGGCCGACCGCCGCCGAGCCGCCGCCGGCCGGGAGCCGACCGTGCTGGGGGGCGGGAGCCGGGGGATGGAGCCAGGAGCCGGCCGGCCGGCCGAGGTGGGGAACAGGGGAACATCCGGTGGACGGGAGGTCGGGCTGGTGGAGGCTATGCTGGCGGCTGACGATAGTGTGACAGTGGGAGTCGGCAGAGACGCCACGCAGGTTTCAGAGCGAATTGTGACGCTGTTGGGTCGGGTCGAACGTTCAACGGAAGAAGTGACAAGAAAATGAGGAGAGAGAGAGAGAGAGAGAGAGAGAGAGAGAGAGAGAGAGAGAGAGAGAGAGAGAGAGAGAGAGAGAGAGAGAGAGAGAGAGAGAGAGAGAGAGAGACGCGGGATGACCAAGTGAGATGGGTTACTGAATCCGAAGAGTGGAAGAGCGGTAATGCAAATGTACGGGACCGGCTGAAGTCCACGAAGGGCCGGAAAGCTTGGGAAAGCTGTGTCCGATGCACGCGTTTCAACGGAAGGGGCATTGGATGGGCTACGTCGCCGGCATGTCGTTTAGATCGGCAGCCAAACGCCGGCCCCCGGTGCGTCGATGGAGAACCCTTCCAAACGATCCGGATCATCTGGCTCAGTTGTTAGTGTGTTCCCGTGTACCAACTCCCTGGTCTGGTGGTTGGAATCACTCAGCGTCGGGCCTCTCTAAGTAGGGGAGAGCGGGGAGAGTTGTATCATGTCCAAGTTGTATCAGGGCTAATTGTGTCAAACTTATCCAATGGATGGCGCTCGTGACACGACCAGCCGACGAGGTTTTCCGGGTGCCATCTTTCCCTGTTCTGTCGTGTGGCTGGGTGGACGCGTCTCGAGGTGAGAGCCGATTTTATGTTTTTTTAATGTCATTCTAAAAAAATAAGCTGCAAGAAAATGTGTGTTTTGGGCATTTAGATGTGCACGAATTTGAAAGATCTCCGTAGCGGTGGTGAGGGTAGGTTCTAAGGCTGCGTGAGTGAAAATGGATTTCTCCAGCTTTCCGCTGTTTTTGAGCACGAGGATGTTTTTTTCCAAGATGGCGGCGAGGTACATGTTGTATCAGAGCCGGGTGGGGTATGTTGTAACATGTATGTATGTATGTATGTATGGGTATGTTGCTTTTGATCGCGAAAGCTAAGCCCTGGCTCGCGTTTGTAGGTAGCTAGTCATTACTCGTTCCATTTCGGCACAATGTGTTGGCTTCTTTGCTCTTAACGGGCCACTTTTGCGTCTAGTCTGTTGATGTTTCGTTCGTTTCGATGTTTCGTTCGGATTGACCTAAGTTTGGTTTAATAAAAATTAAAAGTGAAGCCTTTGCGCATATACATTGTATTAAACCCATTTAATGTTATTGTTATGTTCAAAACCAGTAGCAAGCACACTCCCTGAAACGTGAAATAGTGATACAAATTACCCCACTATGTGATACAACTCACCCAAGCCATGGGGCAAGTTGTATCAAAAACATTGTTCTATTCGGCAGACCGTAGAAGAAAAACTGGTAGAGGTAGCGGAAAAGTTACTTTGCACAAAAAAGCAGAAGAATCAAGGAAGGAGATAGTATGGAAAAAATGAGTTTATCACGGATAGTTACGAGGTTATGGGTCTCGGAGTAAAAACTGATACAACCCACCCCACTCTCCCCTAACCCCACGGTACCTATATTGCGGGTTTCGGTTCGCGACATTCTGTGCAGGGCTGCAGAGTCCGGAGTCGATAGATTATCGATGACCTCGACTCTGACTCCTGCTTTCAAAAATCGACTCCGACTCCAAAGTCCGCGAATAATTTTTACTCCGACCAGCTCCGACTCCGCAGCCATGGCAGGTCTGCGGAGTCGATGAACTTTCGGTGACTCCGGCTCCTATTCTGGCTTCCGAAAATCTACTCCGACTCCGACGATGGACAACACTGTTGACTCCGACTCCCACCCCGCAGCGCCGATTCTGTGCTCACACCATGATCGGCAAGTAGACCCTCTTCACACGTCAGCCTTCTCTCCAACTTACACATGCTCCAGCAGACGAATCTCCAGCAAACCTATATGCGGACTCCGATGCCCGAGTCTTCGAGAGTCCCTTCCATCTTACATTGCTCTGGCTTTAGCAGTCCTCTCCTGGCTGCGACAGACTACAAACATTCAGGAGTGAAGCTTCGCTCCTCTGGGCTCTGGCCTCTGATGGCACCGCACCTTCCAAGCTCCATGAGACTTCTTCGAGCTCGAATCGACCCCCGTCACCTGTCCACTTGTCTATCCGGTAGCGCCCCCACTGCCTATCCCTCCCCCCCCCCCCCCGTCCGTCGCACACAGCGACACAGTCTGTCGCTGTGTGGTCGTGTCGAGAGCGCGAGACCGGACCGTGCGCCGGTCGACCGCGCCCGCCACGGCCCCGCCCGGCCCTTTAGCGACGCGGCCGCCAACCAATTAAGCGCGTTAGGGCGGCCGGCGGCGGCGGCGCGGCGGCACCACACCGGACCGATTGATCCTGGCCCCTTATTGTTGTTGTGTAATTGACGCGGGCGGTGGCGGTGCGGTGGCGGCGGCGGCGGCGGAGCGGTGCGCGCTCGCGCCGCGCCGGCCGGGCGGCGTGTCGCCGCCGCCGGTGGCCGGCCGCCAGTCTGCGGACGGCGTCGGAGGAGGGAGCACGTCGCCTGCGCACGAGCCCGCCGCCACACGCCGACAGCGACCCGTCGCCCCAGACGAGCCGCCTCACAGCAGGTCCAGGTGGGTGCCAGAGCTGGGGAGGAGCAAAATTTGAGTCTAAAGGGCGGGAGGCATGTGAAATGAAAAAATAAAACTGGGGAAGTTTCGGAATGATCCGCTCGGTTTGTTTTGATTATGGTCTGTTACTTGTGTATGAAATTTTATTTTGTTTTGCGATGTGCTTCTGATGAATGCTAGATGCTGCCTAAATTTGCACCCTTTAAGAAATTTAATGAATGTTTGGTTGCAGAATGCTTGTCGACTTTTTAATTCCCCGACTCTGTTTTTGTTTATTTGATGTTTCGTTGTTTGCAATTAATAGCGTTTTGTTGTGTCGCTGGTTGAATTGTTACACTTAATGATAACGACGCTAATGCCTGTTAATTTATTCAACCACCTAGGTAAGTTTCTGCACTATAACCATTGCAACTAAAACCTTAACCGTGACCAACGGTTAGTGAAATATTATGAATGGACGTAAGGCAAGCGATGATTAAGAGGCTTATAAGGGACAATTTGTCACGAATTAGCACGGGCTAAGTTCGACGTTTAAATTTATTTGCCGGTCACAGGCCCACAGGAATTATATTTAATTCGTTTGGCCGTTAACCGCCGGATGGCTGGAACAGAGCGAAGATGATGTTCCGTCTACCTATGTCACTGGATGTTCAGGGTTCTCGGTTCTACGTTCTTTATTTTATTGGATAAGCGTATTGCTAGCAAGATTTCAAAGGACTGTGGTTACTGGTTAATCCACAAATTATATGCCTTGTGTAGGTATCTAACCTATCGAAAAGGAATATCTAATCCTATAGGATGGTTTTTCGAACCTTTCGGACCTATTCCCCTTTATTTTCATCTATAAAATAGGTACCTATACTTTTATACCTACACTCTACAGGTATAAAAGGTATTTTATACCTATAGGTAGGTATACCTAACACTTACTTTTATCAAATGAGTTTACGATTTCGGAGAGAGAAACGAAACGTGAAGCGAGTCTCCTCAATGGTTTTCCATAGTTTGAACGTTTCGCCCACCTATATGAGCGTTGGTGTTGCCAGGTAAGAATTGCTCAGTGCTCACTGTCCCTTGTCCCCCCAAAATGCAGACATTAGCCGAGTTCTTCTATGCTTCTCAAATCTCAACTCACGAGGACTGCGTTCATCAGCTTTCGATGCCCACTCCCTAGCCGAATGCCAGTTGCCACGATATAATTTACCGGCACACCGCGGACTGAACTTCTGGCTTTACGTTTGGTTCTGTCTCATTCCTGGGACTGGAATGCAGATGTTGCGCCCAAAACAGGCTGTTTTCCGCACCGTTATAGGTGTCTATGCTTGAATCGATTGAAATTGTTTGATTATCCTGACTCGTTTCTCCAAAATACCTAAAATGCTGCGGACCTTTTGTCGCCCATCACATCGGAGCGTTTTCGCCAGGATCAGGAGGTGCTGCCTCACTAGGTAATGCCTATTTTTTTGTCAAAGTTGTACCTATCGTTTAATGTTTTATTTAACGTTTTTAGCCAACCCCTACTTTTGCGAAATTTGAACGTTCTGTCTATTGTTTGACTCAGAAAGGAATTAATTTAACATCGTTTGATTCCGTTTCAAGAGAGAAAAATAGGTAGGTACTTATGAATCGATAAATGTGCCGTCTTAGGTATTCACATAATTCGGTGCATATATTGCACCGCGGTTGATAAAATGCGTCGATTTTGGCGTGCGGTCGCGTCCACTTAGGTATTTGTGCCGACTCAGTGCGTCCAAAAACTGAGGCGGTCCCCAGGCACTGGGGCCGACTTCAAAAAGCGGGCTCAATACGATGAGAGTCTGTGGTCCAGGCCATACTTACACGGGCTTCAGGGTGACGCGAAACCTCATAGGTCTTATGAAAAAAATATAAATATGTCTAAAAAAAATATGGTCTCTTCAGGGAACATTTATATTATTATGACTGCGTTTATGTTTTGCACTGCATTTATATCATATGCAGCATTTTTACTTCAGTCCGTTTTCAAATGCGCCCGGGTCGGTATCGGTATCGTCGGGCCGAACATGCCTCGGTTCTCGTTCACCCGCTCCGGTGACCGCTCGGCCGTCTGTCCGATATACCCTGCGTCTGTCTGCCGTCCCCGTCTACCGTCTGCCGGCGGCTCGGGTGGCTCGTGCCGCGCTCGCGTGCGGCCTGAGCCCTGCCGCCGCCGCCCGGCCGTCGCGGCCGACCGCCCACAGTGGCCGCCGCCGCCGCACCGGGCCTTTCCCGACCGGGTAAAACAGGTGGTCTTCTGCCGGCGCCCGCCGCGCCGCCGCCGCCGCCCAATCAGAGGCCTCTTGCACCAAAATCCTCTTGCACCAATGCTTGTATTATTTTGCATCGTATACCCAGTCCAAGTCTCAAATGTAACAATTTGCGTGCAAAATTTAGCAAGCACATGTAGGATTATGTATTGGGCTATTGCAACCAAATTTACCACCGTTAGCTTAGCTTATTCTGAAACCGGTTTTTCGATTTTACCTAGCTAGGTAGTTTGGTGCAAGAGGCCTCTGCATTCATCACGGCGCCGATCACCGGTGCTGATTGGCCGAGGACGCCGTCCGGTCGGCCAGGCGAGCCGACTCGGGACCCGCTCCGAGCGTGGTCCGCGCGGCGGCCGCACTGATTAGGGCCGGCGCGGGAAGGGCCCGAATTAGTGGCGAGAGGTGCGCCGCTTAGTGGAGCGAGACCGGCCCGAACCATCGCCGTCGGGTGGGTTTGCTGCAGGCTAGAGACGGCGCCGTGCCGGTCGGGTCGTTTGCGATGTCGGTTGACTTGGGCATGGACAAGAGGCAGACAACGTCTAAAGGAGTTATTTGTCACGAAACGATTGATAAATAACTCTGGGTAAAATCTTATTATTTTCTTAGGCGACATAAAATTTCACTTCTTGTGAACCTGGTTGTACGTAGGTGAGATCTTCCATCATGTTGGCTGGAGGAGGCACCGGGTGCACCTGTAAAATTACACGCGTAAATGATAGCGATATCTCCGCTGGCATTAGCGCGGCCGATCTGACGGCGGGCTGCCGAGTGCCGGCTGGCCAACTTCGGGCCGCTATCGGCGGTAGCTCGGCGCCGGGCGACTCGGCTCGGCTCGGTCTCGAGCCGCCGGGTTTATCGGACCATAACCGCGCCACTCGGCGGCCGCTGCCGCGCCCGGAGCCGCCTCCCGGGAGAAAAATGTCCGATTGAATGTCTGGCATGCGGCGAATGCCTGACGCGCGCGGCGCTCCGCCGGCGCCGCCGTCCCGTCGCGGCGCTCTCGGGTCCGGGTCGGCGGGCGGCGCGGCGTCCCGCACTGCGCCCCGCCCCGCCCCCCGGCCGGGACGGCGGCGGGCCGAGCGGGCATGTCGTGCGCTCCGGTGGCTCCCGGGGGCCCGCCGCCCGCCGCGCCGGCCGCTCGCTCGTCGGCGCCCGCCGCCCGCCCGGCTAATCTGCTCGAGTGCGCCGGTCGGCGGCGGCGGCGGCGCTGGGCAGCTGGCGGCGCGGCCATCGCTCGCACCGACCGGCCGTCATTATGCAGACACGGCCGCCGGCCAGGCGCGGCCGCGTGTGGGCGACCGCTCGGCCACCGAGGCGGCGACCGGACCTGGCCGCGGCCCGGCCGCTGATCGATGGGCCGCTGGCGCGCCCGCAGCTGCCGAGCCGTCGTCTGTCCGCTGTCCGGAGGCGGCGGCGGCGTCTGGACGCGTGTCGCGGCGGCCGCCCGCCCCGGCCGCGGCCGCCTGTCAGCGGCGGATGCGACTGACGTCAGAGGCGGCGGCGGCGGCGGTGCGGCGGTGCCGGTGCTGCGGTCGATAGGCCGGACGCTGACGGATGGGCCAGGTGTGAGCGCCTCGCGCGGCCGCCCGACCGCCGAGCACCGGCCCCGGTCGCCGCCGAGCGCCGGCCCCGAGCCGCCGTGGCAGCTGTCACCGACCCGGCCGCCGACCGACCGCTTTTTGCGCACCGGCGGAGGCCAGCCTCGCTCGACCGCGACCCATGCCGCCGGACGGGGAGGGTGGCGGCCCGTGGCGAGGGGCTAACCGGGTCACTGGGGGCGACAGGGGCCCGGAACGGGCCGAGTGATCGGCAGCGGCCTCCGGGAGAGCCTGGGAAGGGGAGACCCACACCACCCCTCTGTGGCACGCGCCGAGAATCGGGGCGATTCGGCGGAGGAAGTCGACAGGGGAGCGACGGAAGGGGAGCGCCGGGAGGCCGGAATCCGTTCCCCGGGGGTCGTCGGACCGCTGGCGGCCGACAGCGGTCGTCTCGCAGCAGCGCGGCTCGTGCCTGCGGAGGCGCTGCTCGGGAGGGTCTCAGCGCGCCGTCCAAGATGGATGGGCTGCCAGCAGCGGCGGGCCGGCGCCGCTCAGCGCTCCCACCGCCCCCGGACCGCCCGGCCCGACCGGCTCGGTCGGCCCGGCGGCGCTCCCGCGGTGGCGGTGCGCCGCAGACGAGGTGTGAGCGCCCGGTGGCTCGTGCAGGACATCGTGACCAGCGGACACGCGGCGGCGCTGCAGCCGTGCACCGCCTGCACGCTGCACATCGTGCACAGTCTGCACACGCCGCCGCCGCCGCCGCCGCCACTGCCACATCAAAGCGGACAGCCGGCCACGTCACGGTCGGCCCGCCGCGCCGTCAGCCGGCCAGCCTCGGCCGGCGCGCGGCGCGGCGGTAAATCACCGCCGGACCGCGAGCTGTCGCGCGCGGTGGCGCGCCCGGCTGCCTCGCGGACCGGCCCGGGAGCGGAGCGGTGCGGAGCGGCCCGGAGATCCTGTCAGGGCGGGCGGCGGCGCCGAGCGGCGCCGAGCGGTCGCCGGGACCGGTAGCGGCCGGCGCGATGGACGATTGAACAGGCAGGGGCTGATGGATGGGGGAGAATACGGGGCAGCGGTGCGGTGCAGCGGGCACGGTGCCGCACTGGAACAGCTCCGTCCGTGTGGCTCACATGACAGCGTGGGGTGGCGCTGATGGGATTAGAGCGCGGGGCTGTGTCGCTGCAGCGGGCCCCGCCGGGAGGGCGGCAGGCGGCGCCGGCTGGTACGGCCGCCGCGCGTCTGGTCGAGACCCGGGGGCCGCTCGGCTGCCGAGGCTCTGCGCCTGACGGCCAGGCCTGGCGGTGACGGCGGCCAGGCCAGCCGCTGCGGCGCTGTGTTTGTTTTCCGGCGGCGGCCGCTCTGAGGGAGAGCCATCAGAGCCACCGGCGGCCGGCGCGGCGGGGCGGCTGGCCGGCCTCCAGACGGCCCACAGCGGCCACCGGCGCGGCACAATACACAGGGCGGCACCGACCGGCGGCCGGCGACCGGTCAGCGCCGCCCAGCCGCCCTAATGGCGCCGGCCGATTACGGGCCGCAGCCGCCGCCGCCGCCGCCCTAATGGCACCGGCCGACTACCGACCGACCGAGCTCCGCTGGCCGGCCGGCCCACTCCCCGCGGCCCTGAGCCGCCCACACTGCCGGCCCCCGCTCGGCGCGGCCACCGCAGGTGCATCACGGACAGAGCAGCCCGGAGAGGGCCTCTGACGGGCCACAGATCAGCACCGCGGTCATCCGTCCAACGCTCACATCGACCGGACCGATGACATCAAATTTGACCACCGGCCTCGCCCGGTACCGGCCGCGGAGCGCTGTTATCGGCGGTGGGAGCGCCCGTTAAAAATCACCGACAGAGGCTCCGACAACGTGATGCAACAGCGCCAGGTGGCGGGTACCGGCACGGTAGCCGGCGCGGCCGCCCGGTCAACCGCCGCGCCGGGCCGGGCCGCGAGATCCGCCGAGACGGGTGATGTCACTTCGCTCGGTCGGCTGTCATGTTTCGGCGATCGGCTGGTCATGTCGCGCCTCGACGGCGACTCGGAATGGCTCTGAGGCTACCCTGGGTGACTCGCAGCGGTTCCAAACAAAGTCAGGGCCTCTCGGAGCGAGACTGCAGTGACTCGGAAAGGTGAGGCGGTGCTGATAGATTCGGAGTTTCTTGCAGCGACTCGGTGGCCCCATTAGCACCTGAATGCATGCAGCGTGCATTGTGAGTCAACTCCTGGGCCATGACTCACTACTCAACAGGAGCAGCGGCCAGCGCGAGCTCTCGTGTCCAGCCGGCGCGCTGCGGGCCGCCAACACCGCCCACCTGTCACGCCCGATTTTAATAACGAACAAAACTAAAACGGAGCGCCTGGGGGCCGGTGCCGGTGTCGGCGCCGCGACGAATTGGTGACGGATGGACGGCGGCCGGGTGGCCAGTCGTTGGCGACGCGACGGCCAGTCGTTGGCGACGCGACGGCCGCTTGGGGAATCGACTGCGGGCGGCGGGGCGGTGCAGACCGACAGCCGGTCGTCGAACGGTCCGGCGGCCGCGCGGTCTGTGTCGGCGGGCGGTCGGCCGTCGCCGCCGCCGCGCCCGTCGCTCGGAATCGATAGGTCGGTGGGAGAGTGCGACGGCCGGTCGCCGCCGGCGGCGCGCTGATGAAAAACGGCACCGACACCGCGGAGTCGAGCCGGACGCGGGCTCGGGACAGTCCCCTGGTGGCAGTCTGAACTGGTCTGAGCGGTCGGCCGGCCCCGAGGCCCGAACGCCGTGCCGACGGGCGTGGTCGGACACCGCGGACCCGACCGGCCGACCGCTCCCGATCTCTCGACCGCACCCGAGCGACCCGAGCGGCCGGGCGGGCCTCGCTGTCCCGACTCAGTTCGATGGGAATCCAGCGGTCCGAAGGCCGGGGCCGACCCGGGCCCAATTGGTGGGCCCATCGAGACTGCTGTCATCCGTGCTGACAGTCCCTTACTTTAATCAGAGTGAGGCTCTGATGAAAGATCAGCGTTTAACGCCAGCGGCATCGTTCCGATATGCTTCTCTTCTCACCTCACCGTCTGTCCGATATAGTATTTTGTCCCGTCCCGTCCTAGTGTCCTGTCCTGCCTTGTCCTGTCCTCTTCCGTGAACTAAGTTTTTTTCCCCTATCGCTAGTCGTGAACTTCCGTCTCCTGTCATTCCTGATGCTCTACTGTCCGTCCCGTCCCACCCACATAACCAGCATGACAGGCTGCTGCCCCGCCGCGGCAGCCCCGACTCCAGCTCTGTCCCCGACTCCAGCCCCAGCCCAGTCCCCGGCTCCGGGCCCTGTCCCTGTCCCGGCTCCGGCTGCGGCGCCGGTCTCCGGCCACTAATGAGACACTGAGCCGGCTCATTACGGGCGGCACACCCGGCCGCAGCCGCCGCCGCTCGTCGGCTGTCGCTCGGCTGGTCTCGCGGCGGTTGGTTGGTCGGACGGAGCGCTCGGTGGTTGGACGGTCGGTCGCCTCGTATTGTGGTCAGATCAGATGGTCGGGCGGTCGTTCGTTTGGCTGGTTGGGCGGACGGTGTGCCGTCGGTAGTTTGGTCGGACAGTCGGCTGGTCGAGCGGTAGTTCGTTTGGTCGCCTGGTCGGTCGGCTCGCTCCGCGGTCGGTACAGGACGGTTGGTAGGTCGGTCGTTTGTTTGGTCCGATGGTTGGTCAGACAGCTGGCTGGTTTTCGGTTGCAGGCTGCAGTCGGTCGAATGGTCTGACGGATGGCCGGTCGGATGGTTGATCGGTCGAGTCGCGGCTGGCCGGTCGACGGGCAAGGTACACGGCTTCGTAATCGGTCGGTCGGTCGGTCTGATGGTCGTTCATTTGTTTGGTCGATCGGCTGGTCGGTCCGCCGATTGGCCGGTCGGCTGGCCGGACGATCGCGGGTCGGTCGGTCGGTTGGTCTGGTGTCGTTCATTTGTTTGGTCGTTCGGTTGGACGGTCGGCTGGCCGGACGATGGCGGATCGGTCGGAATGGTCGTTCATTTGTTTGGTCGTTCGGTCGCTCGATCGGTAACTCACCAAGTTCATACCGTCTTTTTATGTTGTTTTGTAAGTTGTCCTAGGCCGCTCATTGAGTGGTTGCTTGACTTGTCGACCTTTTTTTGTTCGGTGTTGCTTCATGCTCGCCAATTGGACATGTTCTGTTTTCCCTGCTGTGTGTCCGCACTTATTTGCGATTCTGTCGTGCATTCTTTGTGCGCATGTTCCTCTTTCTCGCTCGTTTTCGGCTCCTTCCGCCTAGTTATTCCTGGCTCTCGCTCTCTTTCTCCGGTTTTTAGTTCCTCAGTTCCCGGTTCGCGCTTTGGTGCTGCTTTTATACTCCAGCGGTCGATTCGTGTCCGCTGTCCGTCCCTGCTGTCCCGCTGTGCCGCTCTGGTCCGCTGTCCGGCCCCGCTGCCCGTCCCCGCTGCCGCTGGATCGGTCGTCGGTGCACTCACTCACCGGGCCTACCGGGCAGCCGCGGTGGTGGCGACGGCCCCGACACGAACCGCCCCGCCCCCGCCCCCACCGCCGCCCCCGTGTCGCTCCATTTGGCCGCGGCCGCCGCCGCCGGGCCGCGCGCGGTCGGTCACACCCCGCCCCCGCGTGCCGCCGCGCCCCGGCACTGCTCGGAGGGAGGGTCAGGGCGGCACAGTGGGTGGGTTTAGTGCTCTGTTTACCGGCCGAGAACGGGGACCTGTTGGGAGGTTTATTTGGACGCCGACTGTGGACGGTAGCGCACCTGCCGCCGTCGGCTCTCCTTCAAAACGACTGCCTTCGAGGCCACGCTCGGGTAATGCTCGATTGACGATTTCTGGTCGGACAGCGAATGGCAGCCTGTTGCTGTTTTTGTTTGTACGCTGTTTGTAATTCAGTCGTTAAATTGTTCGTGGTCGGCTCGAAAATGAAAGTCGTCAGCAATTATTCGCCATATTTAGGTTAGTTAAGAAGGCAACACCGTTTCTGGCAATTCCGTTTCCAGTAATGTTTTCATAATGATTTCTTAACAATATTTTACGCTTTCCTTTTTCTTAGCATTATTTACGTTACAATATAACGATACATAGAGGTTCCCTGTGATTGGTGACCGAACCAATATCTGCCTCTCGAATGAAGTGCTCTAACGCCTTCCCCGGCCGTGTCATTTCCAGGTGTCGTGCCGCGTTCCGTGATGTTCGTCCGCGGTCAGCGCTCGACCTGAGTCGTCCGCCGTGTACCGCTCGCCGCCCCCGCCGCCTGCACCGCCGCCGGAGTCTCCCGGAGCTCGCCGGAGCCGCCCGGACCCGATGGACTTCCGGGCCGCCGCGCTGCCGCCGCCCGCCGCCCACATGCCGGCGCTCTTCAGCCAGCCGCCGGCACTGCCGCCGCCGCCCCCGCCCAGCCAGGCCGGCCTCTTTCTCTACCCAGGTGAGTTCGCCGACAGTTCTTGGTGTCGGTAAATGTTATGTTTTAATTATTGGTAACTAATTGAAACAGAACTAACCTCTCGGTAAAAAAAATATGATGCGTGTCTTCCGATCGAATTCGGTCCAATTTTTTTTTCGAAGTCTCTGCGTCGCGCGCAGATATTAAAATGCAGGGTTTTTGCGTTCGAAATGGTTAGTCTACCTATTGTTAGATCGGAAATTAATATTTTGGTTACCTAACGTTATTGTTGAACTAAATTTAAATTATCAGCATTTCAGGAGGCTTGATTTCAATGGTATATCATACTACCGTTAGATCGTGAAACAATTTTTTTTTTTTGCCGACCTTCCGGTGCATTATGTGTCGGCCCCCGCTCCCTATAGCTCCCGGCTGCGTGCTCGTCCCCGTGCGGCCCTGCGCGGTGTGGCCGGCCGCCGCACCTCTGGCCTATCTCTCCTCTATCGCCATGCGTCACGGCTGTCGACCGGCCGGGTGGCACCGGCGGCGGCGGCGGCGGCGGCGGCGGCGGCGCGCCGGTGATGACACAGTGGGGGGCGGGCGGGGCGGGGCGGGCGCGCCGACCGCCGGCTGGCAGCTGCCGCGGCTCGCCTCGGTCGGCCGCGCCGCGCCGGGCCGGGCCGCGTCGTCGGCCGATCGGCTAGATGAATCACCCACCGGGACGGGCCGACGGAGCGGCCCTCGCCGCGCCCCGGGACCGCCGGACGGCCGGTGCGGAGGCCGCCGCTGCGGTCGCCGGCGCGCCTGCCAGCCCAGATAGGGCGGCGAGCGCAGCTGAGATATGGAGATGAGAGCGCGCGCCGCCGGCGGCCGGTGTCGCGCCGCTGTGGGCCGCCGCGCCGGCCGGCCGGCTGTGCCGGTGAGATACGGTCCGGCGCCGGCCCACTGACGGCGGCGCGCGGCCTCCCCCGGCGGCCGGCCGGCGACCAGCCAACCGTGCAGCCCGTCAGGCCGCGAGCCGGCGACACGCCCGTGCCGCCGACGGTCCCAGAGGCGAGCCGCCGCCGACGGCCCATCCCTCCGACGGGGTCCGTCAGCCGTCGGGGCCGCTCGCGCCGGCCGGCTGGCGCTGGCGTGCGGCCGCCGCCGACGCGTGACAGCCGACAGCGCCGCCGCCGCCCGGCCGGCGGCCTTAATTGCGCGTCGGCGGTCGGCCGTCGCCGCCCCGGGCCGGGATGGCAGCGGGGCTGAGTGACGGCGCTGGGGGGGGGGGGGCAGAGGCCGGGCGCCCGGGGCAGAGAGCGGAGCGGCGCGCCGTCGGCGGCCGCGGCTCTGCGGGCGAGCCGGCGGGGACGGGCCGGACGGGGGAGCTGAGGCGTGAGGCGAGAGCCGGGACCGAGACTTGGGAGTCGAGAGCGGCGACGAGGGGAGGGGAGGGGAGGGGTGAGAGCGCCGAGCGAACGGCGGCGCCGGCTGAGACCGGCCGAGCGAGACACAGGGACGGACGGCAGGTGCCGACCGGAGCTGGGAGCTACAGATCGCAGCCAGAACCGACGCAAGGGCGGCGGTCAGGAGGACGACACCTTAATATTGCAGCTTGTGTGAGCCTCAAACCACCCAAATGGATCTCGGCGACGAACCTTGGTGCGGCTGAAGACTGGCACGGCCCACCCGGCTCGGCGGCGCCCGCCCGTCCCGGGACGCGCCGCCCGGCGGCGGCCGAGGACGGCCGACCTTTGACCGCACCGTGCCGCGCCGGCCGGCCGCGCGCCATTAGTGCCACGCGGGGGTCAGCCGGGTCGGTCAGGGGTCACCAGGTGTCGGCCGGGGTCGCCCGGGCTCGCCTGGCGACGGATGTCGGAATGGTTGATCGGCTGCTCGTCCGCCCGCGGCGCCGGGCGAGCCGAGCCGAGCCGAACCGCGGGTGGGTAAAGGTGAACGGATGGCTGGCCGAAGACGGCGGCTACTGTATCTGCGCGGCTGCAGCTCCGGGTGGGGCTTTAGTCTAGCTGTAGGGTGTGTCTGTGGTCTGCGGCCGCCCGACTATGACCGCGGCAGCAGCTGCCGCTCTGTCGGCGGTACACCGGGGTGCCGGCGGCGGCTCCGCACCTGTCCCCGACTCGCCGCCTCCCATGGCGGTGCGGACAGACCTCGGCGATCGATCCCTGTCGCGCAGACAGACGCCAGTCGGGACCAGGTGGACGCCGACGGCTACCGTTACTGACTGCGCTCGTCCGCTCGCATGGCTACCCATAGGTGTCCTGTATAGCCTCTCCCAGCTGGAGCTCGTATCTACCTGGCCAGCGACGACGCGCGCGCGGATTACATTTCAGTTGCGCTAGCTCCGCCGTCCGGCGTCCACTCATGTGGCCTGTCGGTGGTCATCTACGCAGAGCGGGTCGGTCCATTTGCTCCCGACTCCCGACTCCGATCCGGGCTGACCCGGCGGTGTGGTCTTGGTGCCTGCCATTTGGCCCCCGGCGCCGCTCGAGGCCGGTCGGTGGGTGGCCGTTGGCCGGCTGATTTGATTGGCGCCGACCAACTTCGCCAGCTGCCGGCCCAACTTCTCGCCGCCGCCGCCGTCGGATCGGGGCGCCGCGGCCGACTGCCGACGGAAGCCCACCCTCGGCCGGCGGGAAATAGATCGTCGGCGGCGGCGCCCGACGCCCGGGTGCGGCGCCGTTTTTATTCTCCCGGCGGCTGCGCTCGAGCCGGGCGGCCAATTTCGCCGTGCGGTGCTCCGGCTCGTCCCCGGCGCCATTCGATCCAATTCGTGCGGCGCCGCAGACGGAGGGGCGGCCGTGGCACGACGTCGGCGGCGCGGCCGTCGGCGGTGGCGTTGGTAACGACAGCTCAGCGCCGGGACTATCGGCGCTCGCCCACGCGCCGCCCGCCGCTCGGTCGGTTGGGATTACCGGCGGCCGCCTGGCCAGCGGGGATATATCGCGGGCTCAGCGACCGCCGTCGGCCGCCGGTCGGCCCGTCAGGTCGGCGGATTTATCGGCACTGGCCGGCCGAGCGCTGCCCGAGCGGGCGGTGCGGCGCCGCCACCTCTGACGGTCGCCGGGACCGCCCGGCGCGGCGGGGGGCCAGCCGTGTTTGTGGCTCCGCCGCGTGGTGCCGCCGCGGCCGGCCGGGCAGGGCAGAGGACGGGGGTGTTTGGGTACGGGCCGCGGCCCGGTAGCGGGCGGGAAGAGGGCAGGGGTGACGGCGATCACGTCACCGTTCTACCGTCCGCCGCTGACGTCGTAGTCGTATAAGCTTACAGTAGGTACCTATTTATGCCTGCTTAATTGCAAATTACCATTTTATTAGACGGAGGCAGTGGAAGCGGATTCGGGTATACATTTTTCTGAAAAATATAACAATGCGCTATTATATTTTCCTCACGAGCCGTATTTTCCTAATATATTTGTCGGCGGCGGCGGCGGCGGCGGCTGGCGTGTCGGCGTCCATTTTCGCGGCGGTCGGGTGTCGTGGCTCGTTATCGCGCCAGACAGGTGTGTGCCTGACGCCAACACGCCACCGCGCCGGGCCAGGCAGCCGCTCGGCCGGGGCCGCCGGTGCACGTCCCGATCGGCCGGCGGCGCGCGTGACGGCCACATCGCCGCACAGCGCCGTCAGCCGCGGCTCGGTGAGCGGTGCTTTTTGTGGCGCGCCGGCCGCAGACGTGGCGCGCCGCCTGTGACATATCCGGCGAGCCGGCGACGGCTGTGGCGCAGCAGCGGCGCCGGCTGTGGTCGGCGGGGGGGGGGGGGGGGGTTTGACCGCCCGGTGGCAGGCTGTCAGAGGCCGCGACTGCTGATCGCCAGTACTGTGGGGGCCGCGTGACAGGCAGCGGTGTTGTATATTTTGTATTTTTGCTTCGTTCAATCCTACTAGAATCTACTGTAACTATATAAGTGCCATCTATTTTTTATTATTAACATTATTCGAGGGAGTAAGCAGCTAAACTTTCCCACGCAAGATGCTATACGGGACGGACGGTAACTCACTATCCAGCACCACTCGAAGCTCTCTGGCGCGCTTCGCGGCGGCCGGCGCCTGCCGATCGGTCTCTGTCGCTCGCAGTCCGCCGCCGCGCCGCCCGACTGCCTCACTTTATCTTCCACGGCCGCCGAGAGTGCAGCGGCCGGCGGCCGTCCCCGGCGCCCTCTCCTCCCGCTCCGTCCTCTGCACGGCCGTCACCGTCCAATTACGGCGAATCCCGGTCAGATCGGGCGCCGCCGCTGCGGATCGGTCGGTCGGCGCCCGCCGCCCGGTCCCGGCCCGGCGCGCTGCTCAGCCGGGCTTTCACCGGCCGCTCCGCTCCGCCGCCGCCGCTCGGCGCCGGTGCCGCTCTCGGGAGCGGCGGGCGCAGCTGCTTCTTCATTAGCAGTCGAGGGGCGGTCGGCGGCGGCGCGGCGGCAGATCGCTATCGGGCGGCGGCCGACCGGAACCGAGGCGGCGCGGGCGGGCGGCCCGCCGCGCCGAGCCGACCGAGCGAGCGGGAGCGGCGGGAGCGGACCGACCGAGGCCAGGGCCGCCCGCCGGCCGGGCCGGCCAGGTGACGCCGCCGCCGCACCACTGGCGGATCCTGGGGGGGGTCCACGGGGTCATGACCCCCCCCAAAAGGTCTGAGAGGGTCATTTGACCCCCCCCAAAAGCCGAAGACCTAAATGCGCTATAGACGCCGTCTTGCATGCTCAAAATCACCTGTCAAACACTTCTGAGCTAATACCTTTGTTTTTCTGGATCGTGTTGCGTGAAAAGGCGTATTGAAGACCAGAATCTTACTCGTTTTTGTCTCAACCGTGCGAGCACCAGGGGATGATCCAGGAAAACTCCAAGGGGATGGTCATGAATTTAATTCGTGGTGCCCCTACCTATACGCAAAATTAAAAACTCAACGGATTTCGGTCACTTAATTTTGGTGATGTCCTATTTTCATTTTTTATTTTGTTTGTTTTATTTTTAGTGCCCCTGGGCCCTGGCAGGTCAAAATCACGTCTGAGGCGAAAGAAATTCACGGGAATCCCAAAAATCACGTCAGGACATTCAGG